CCAAATCCTCTCCACCAATCGCTGAATTAGGCCTGCAGTGGGTTGGCCATACGCCAGTTGAATGGTTATACCTGTTTACAATGTCGAGGTCTTTTATCATTCTTTAAAACTTGTTTAATTCGACCGCCTCAAAAATAGCAAATTCTAAATGAGCTTGTTTAAAATAAAAATATAATGAAATCTTTAACACGACCAAGGAAATCAGGAGATTTTTATAATACATTTTTCAACTTTTGTGGCCTGGGTTAACTGTTTTTATTTAATTTTGTTATATAATTTGCCTACCAAAATTGTATTCAATTAAAAAAAATGCAAGATTTTGACAATTATGCAAACTGTTTTGTAATATTGTTTCACAAATTGTAGAATGAAGGTATGTACATAATTTTGTCTGCTAATTGAATGACTAATTTTGCGGGTCTCTATATCCTGCCTGAGTTTATTTCTACAGCAGTCTCATTCTTCACCCCACTTTCTTATACTGGCGGCCCGATTTTAAATTCAAACACTGGGATCAGCCCAGAGTAAATAAATAGATCACAAACAAATTTTGCTGTAAAGTATGGTTGAACTCATGAACTATTACTATAGTTGAAAAATTTAATACATAATTAATAGGGATAAGTAAAATGGACAAGCCAAGCGTCAATGGTATTATTTTACGAAAGTAATTAAACAAATTACAAATAAAGATTCCTAACTGAGTTTGAGAGCATGGCTTAATTTTTAAACATATAATTACATTTACAAAAAGCGTTTGATGAACAAAAATGTTAAAAACTTTCCCCCAATTTTTTCAGGGAAAATATTTAAAGAATTTAAAAGTTAATGGTCACTTTTAAATGTAACTTTAACTTTAAAAGATTTACAAATTCTTGCAAAGAGAAGAAGACAGCTTCTTATTCCAAAGCCTAACGTGGCAACTACGATGGTCAAATCGAATCAAGTCCAAGACGCGATGCTGGGGAACGCGAGTAAAAGAGCTGATGGTCGATCTATCCGATGATAACACACTTGACCTCCCCATCTCTCAACTTAGACAAATATTTCCTTCAAAGTTACCTCACATTCTAAGTAAAATAAAGGACAAATTATTAAATACGGACATCGACAATATGGCAAATACAACAAGGATCCCAAATTATGCTAAAATGAAAACACACGCCCTAATTGAACCATACCTCCGGCTCAGCCTCCCTCTCCCTATGGCGCAAGTTATGGCGCAGTTAAGAGTAAACCTCTACAATCTAAAAATCAATGATAAGAAGATTCCACTCCAAAATCAAACAAGTTGTCCATGGTGCGGTGAAGGAGAAGGAAACAGTGACCACTATCTTCTGTATTGTCCTCACCTGGAAACCACACGCTCCAAATTTCTCAACCTCTTCCTTTCCACCCCCACCGCGAACTTTATCGACTTGTATAATAATTACAAAAACTCCCCTGACTTTTATAAGAATATTTTCTATTTTTTTACTGAATGTTTCAAATCCCTAGACTCTCCCTTTTGACCACAGCATATATATATGCATACATAAATCTAATTTCTTATTCCAGTATTTCATGTAGCGATATGGGCTGAGGCCATCGTATTGAACAAATAAATCTATATTGATTGTTTGATTGATTTACAAATTCAAATCGCAGTCATCGCAGTCAAACCTTTTTAATTATATATTTGCTTGTAAGAATAATATGCCTTGTTATGTCAGGGTTTGCAAACCATTTCCTAAGGGGAACTGATTTGTGTTGACATATTAATAAAGGATTACACGAACTTGAATTTTGTAAATTGTTTGGCACACGTGCGCAGCTTAACTGTCGTAATTGGTTTGATGTGAAATTGAGTTCGTAATCAATCAAAAAGATATTGATTCCCTCTTTGTGGGGTTTTACTTGAAATGTTTTAAAAAACATAAATTTTCCAAAATTGATTCCCAGGTAATTACCTGGTAATTACCTGACTTAAGTCAGCAGACTACAAAAATTCTAAACATATCGTATTGACGAATTTATGATAAAAAATATTATCGCAATTTAGATGAAATTCTTTTTAGAAATTTATCTTTGTAATTTCTATGTAATTCAATTATTTCTTTCACAAATTGACAAATTTGAATTTAAATACTACTACCAGTGGTGATACTACTTGAATTACAAAGAAAACTAATATTCTATAAATTTACACACATTTTGTGTAGATTTAGTCAATAAATAACTTTGAGGGGCATAATTTAAATTCAATGATAAATGCGTCATGGAGGAAACAACTTGTAATAATTTCATACACAAACTTTTATAAAATCTCGCACCTGAGTGTAACGAATCTTTTACCCGACCCTGTAATTAAAACATGCACAAATATTGGATACGGATCTAAATTTGGACAAGTTGGAAATAAAATATAGTTAAACATTTTCCGGAGGTCTTTGTTAATTTTAAGTTTTACAGGTTTTTACAATTTATCACTAGATAGTATTAAATCTATATTTACTTTGTTTTTGTTATCGAACAGTTAATGTTTCTTGCATTAATAATATTCCTTTCCAATAGTAAAGAACAACATATTCCAAAATTAACTAATTAATCGATTTTTTTCAATAATTATGTTAATTAAATTGTTTTGGTTAATTAAGATGCTCGATTACAACCAAAGGATTTTGACCAAAGAGTCTGAATTTGCAAAACTATTGCCAAACTGGTATTTCTGAAGTGGTAAAAATTTTGAATCCGGTAATTTTACTAGCTAGATGAAATGAAAATTCGTCAAAATCGTAAGTGAATTCATAATACGAAGACTACAAACAAAGATTAAGAATTTGTCAAAACCAAGGCTGGTGGTTAGTAACACAGCTTTTGGTAAAAAAAATGCTAGCCATTTACATAATGTCAGTAATTCACTACACCCCACTATGGGTCAGTTTGCTTAATTTGTGGCCGAAAGTATAATTTAATTACATACGCTTTGAAATTTAGGATAAAATGACTTTAAACTTTTACCATATAAATATATTTTAAATAGCGACTTTTTGTTATAAAAAAAATTACTAGCGTGACAAAATATTTTTGTATGAACTAAAAAATTAAGATTCTAGATTTTGGCAAGATATAATAGGCATTCGTCGATCAGACAATTTGAGTAAACTCAGTTTGGATTATAATTAATTGTTTTAGTGTGTTAACTTTGAACGGTTGCGATATGGGTAATATCCAAAAGTGGAAATTTCCGACATCAGCATATGCTCTTGACACCTATCGCTATTGAATAACACAAATTTTAGCTCATTTGGGGGCGGAAATGGACGGAAATGCTGAAAATGCGAAATCCCTATGTCCGCAATGCATTACAAAAAGTTTGAGGTCTTGGTTCTCTGGAGTGGCTTGACTAATAGCCTAAATATTTTACATGGAAGATAAAATGGTTATAGAGAGCACGATGACATATAAAGACATTCATTCCAAGCTAATGCCTTAAAGGCCAGATTCTACGGTATTTGGCCCACAAAGCTTTGTGGTGAAAATTGTACTTTGAATTTGTTTCGAAGTTCAAAGCAAGTATCGAATCATATACTTGCTTTGAAATTGCTTTCAACTATGAATTTTTCCTAGAAATACTTACAAATTTCAAGCATTTATCACTAAACAGCCTTAAAATTAGTAAATAACGTTTTGTGTTTTAACAAGGCACACCGCACGTCAAGAGATTAGATCTAGTAACCTATTACATAGTTCATATATTACTAAATAATTAATTCGGCGCTAGACTTGTGTATTTTATGATGCATAAACATATCTGAAGTTTGGTTTTGCATAAATTTTTGATGTTTTGATGAAATTTTGCAGAACTGAACCCGACCTTTTGACACCTTCATTGAAAATTGAAATCATTATCATAATCATTGAAAACAAGGGGGCGTGGCCCAGGGAACCATTGAAAGTAGGTACCCCTCTTTGTCACAAAAATAGTAATAATAAATTTTGTGAAATTCGAATTTATTATAATACATAATCTAACAAGATGAATTCCAAAATGTAACAAGTTTGAATTTCGCTGAATTTTTTATTACTATTTTTGTGGCAAACTTTACCAGATGTGGTAGAGAACCTTAGTCATTACAAATACTAATGATTACTACTACTTATTTTACCTATCGGTAACGATTCTACCTAGTGAAGTTTCAGAATTATTTTGGTATTGGAATTTGTTTGATTTGCAGATATATGTACAAGTGTTAGTTTGTGGCTTATGAAATGTGTTGAATTTGGTTTCTTGAATTTGGTGATGTCGAATAAGTGTATTTAAAACGAGCACAGAAGATTTAATTTGAATTGAGCAGTCATAAAGGTTTTAATTGTCAGAAATTATTACTTAGTTTACAATTTGGGAATTTAGTTTCTATTTAAAAATGACTTTGAATTTAGGATAGCAAGAAGAAGTGGTTCAAATGGGTGACTGACTGAGAGTGAGTAAGTAGTTGAGAATACGGAAGAATAAGTAGCTGTTTGAGTGGAATGACCTTGAGCATTTACATAGTAGGATATGAGTTTTAGTTACAATACAATTGCATGGAAAGAGTCATATGAAATATTATACAAGCTACTTAACACCGCCCACGTTGTAATATTCAATTACAAAGATTTAGAGATATGAAAGGATAATTGAAATTAAGAACAATGAATAGGTCAAAATGTGATTACATTACAAAAATCAAATCATAAAAGAAAATACAATGACATAAACAGATCATCCTAGACTACAACATGATTCCTCTCTTGACACACACTAAAATGGAACTGTTTGAGCATATTTCATCTCACGCCCATAAAAAAACACATTCACACGGGAACACGAACTGTTTGGCTTGTTAAGACCGCGCCGTGTGGGGATGGGGGTTGAGGAACCACGGTTGAGTTGTCGGAATCACTGGTGGTGTCATCGTGTCTACATGAAAAATAAAAATGACTTTAGAAAGAGAAAATTGAGTCCTTTCAAATGAAAATTAATCAGAACATGGTAATAAAGGACTCAGCTTAGCAATAGGACGTTTGTAGTCTCCGGACTTTGTACGAATTGTGACGACTCGAACCAATGAATCTGCTCCTGGATGGACATCAATGATTCGACCGAGTTTCCATTTAGCGGGGGGCAATTGTTCATCATGGACCAAGACCAAATCATCCTTCTTAAAATTGGCTCGCTTCTGTGTCCACTTGAACCGTTGTTGAAGGGTGGACAAATACTCATTCTGCCATCGTTTCCAAAAATGTTGAGAGATTTGCTGGACCCTTTGCCATCTGGACAATCTGTTGATTTTGATTTCTTGCAAGTTTGGTTCTGGTACTGAATTGATAGGACCTCCGATGAGGAAATGCGCTGGGGTCAACGCGTCGAGATCGTCAAGGCTGGTTGACAGTGCACACAAGGGTCGAGAATTCAAAATTTCTTCCACGCAGCAGAGAAGAGTTCCGAACTCCTCCAGTGTTATGTTGCTTTGGCCAATGACACGACGAAGATGAAATTTCACAGATTTCACGCCTGCCTCCCAAAGTCCTCCTTGATGTGGTGCTGCGGGTGGGTTGAATTTCCACAATGTTCCGAGAGGTGACAACTTGTTCGCCACCACATGATTGTACTCTGCAGATTGGATGCTGGCTGCGAGTTCCTTCTCTGCTCCCACAAAATTGGTCCCGCAATCACTATACATAATTGCTGGGATGCCTCGTCTTGCTGTGAATCTCTTATAGCAAGCAATGAACGCTTCAGTGGTAAGATCTGTCACATACTCCAGGTGAACGGCCTTTGTACTGAAACAAACGAATATAGCAAAATAGCATTTAAATGACCTCGCTCCCTTTCCCTTGCATTTTAGGATTTGGTAGGGGCCAGCGAAATCCACTCCAGAATTGAGGAAAGGTCTACCAACAGTTACCCGAGTTGATGGCAAACTCCCCATTAATTGTTGTGCTAAATTGGCTTTGTGACGTCTGCAGATGACACATTTTCGGATGATGTGACGGATGGTTTCTCTTCCTCGTAGAATCCAGAATTTTTTAAGAAGTGTGGATAGGACTAACTTGTGACCACCATGTAATGTGTCATGATGACACTGTCGAATGACAATTGTTGTCAAATGATGATTATGAGGGAGAATTATGGGATGTTTCTGCTCCTCATGCACATGGGAATGTTGGAGGCGACCACCCCCTCGAAGAATGCCACCTTGGTCTAGAAATGGATGAAGTTGAATTAATTTGCTCTTCGTTGGTAGTGCATGTCTTCTCTCCAAACATTTGACTTCGTTGTAGAATTCCTGATTTTGCACAATTTTGACAAGTGAGGATAATGCATCTTCTAACTCTTGGGGATAGAATGGACCACACTTTCGCTCGTGTTTGTTCTTTCTTCGCATATTGTAGATGAATCGATTGATATATCCCGTAATCTTGACCAGTCTTGATAAAGAAGAATACCTTGTTATGATTGAGTCAGAGATAGTTGAATGAAGTGTCGTCGTCTTGATGGACTTTTCTTCTCTGTCCACTTCCGCTGAGAACTCTGCCGGATGTGGAGATGGGAATGAACTACTTTGTAACCAATGAGGACCAGTCCACCACAAATGATGATTGATGAGATCTGGTGTGGATATTCCTCTTGAGGCGCAGTCGGCAGGATTGTCCTCGCTCCGAACGTATCGCCACAAATTGTAGGGGGTTTCTTCTTGGATTTTCGCCACGCGATTGGCGACGAATCTTTTCCACTTGCCAGGAAATGCCTTGAGCCAACCGAGGACCAATGTTGAGTCTGTCCAGGCTGTAACTGAGCATGAGAGATTACAAGCCTGCATAATGCCTTGAATCAATTCACTTAAAATGACCGCTCCACACAACTCCAACCTTGGAATAGATAATTGTTTTACCGGCGCCACCCTGGTTTTGGCAGCAATAAATCTTACTGTTACGTTACCATCTTCCCCTTCAGTCCGCAGGTAGACGACGGCTGAATAGGCTTTCTCTGAGGCGTCAGAAAACCCATGGATTTGGTGAGTTACTCCAACAGTGCCGGTGGTAACACATCTTGGAATTTGCAGTTGTTTAATGCTTGCTAAGTCTTGTTGATATTGTAGCCAGGTTGCTTGAATTTGAGGACAGAGCTCGTCGTCCCAACTAACGTTGTCTTTCCATAATTGCTGGAACATGACCTTTGCGTTGATAGTGACTGGTGACAGAAATCCGAGTGGATCGAAAACCTTTGCTAACTCTGAGAGTAGTTGTCGTTTTGTGATCTTGACGATGTGTTGTGAGGGCTGAACGGAGAAAGTAAAAACATCTGATGAGGGTTTCCATTCAATGCCGAGAGTGGGAAATGATGCAGTGCTGTCCAAATCCAAAGTGTCGCTACTTTCCCTTAGTTCTGGGGGAATGGACTGAAGAACGGTAGGGTTGTTTGTCATCCATTTCCTAATTTGCATGCCACCTTTCGCCACGAGGTCCACTAATTGTTTTTGAACAATGATTGCTTGCTCCACATTGCTTGCTCCACCGAGAAGATCATCTACATACATGTCCTCAAGTAGAATTTTTGATGCAATAGGATAACTACTTGCCTCGTCTGACGCTAATTGTTGTAGTGAACGAGTTGCCAAATACGGCGCGGGTGCGGTGCCGTACGTCACAGTTAACAACCAATATTCCTTAATTGGTTCTGAGGGTGATTCTCTCCAAAGAATTTTCTGAAAATCCCAATCCTCCTCAGCCACCTTGAACTGCCTATACATTTTTGCTATGTCGGCCTTCAGGGCGATTGGCTTCATCCTAAATCTCATCAGAATTGTGCATAAGTCATCCTGAATAGTAGGACCTACCATCAATGCTGCATTTAGTGAGATTCCGGTGGTTGACCTTGCGGAGCCATCAAACACCACCCTCAATTTAGTAGTGCTGCTGTTCTCCTTAAGTACGAAGTGATGTGGAAGATAAAATCCTCGGTTGTGGTTGATCTTATCTGGAGGAATCTGCATCATATGGCCAAGGGAGCTATAATCTCGCATGAATTTTACATACTCGTCCTTGTAACCTGGAAATTTCTGGAAACGCCTCTCCAAAGACATTAACCTTCGCAAAGCTTGTTCTCTAGAGAGCCCCAAATTAGTTAAATTGTTGTTGAATGGTAATTTGACTGTATATTGACCTGTAATGATATCTCGTTTGTGGTTGGCGACGAAGTGCTGTTCACATTCCTTCTCCTCTTGAGTGAAGTGACGCTGACTCGGTAGCTCTTCCACTTCCCAGAAGCGCTGAATGACCTCCTCCAAACTGTTGTGAAGGACGGTGACTTCGGCTGAATCCGTTGATTTGACTAATGTGCGACCAGATAACACCCATCCAAGTAGAGTGTTCTGTGCAATGGGAGTATTCTTTGGGCCATTTTTCAATCCTGGTCTGATAATGGATGCCACCACGTCAGCTCCAAGTAAAATGTCCACTTGCCTGGGTTCATTGAATTTAGGGTCTGCCAGTTTGAGACCACGTAGATATGAAAATGATGAGATGTTGATTGGTAATTTGGGCATTGGTGCTGTAACTCTTGGCACGATCAATGCATCCACACTGAAACTTGATCCTTGTGATAATGAGGATAGATTGAGGTTTACCTTGAACTTGGATGACCCCACGCACGACGACGATAATCCAGTAATCTTGACATTTGTCCTCTGACGAGTCAAACCAAGACTCGTGGCACAGCTCTCCGTGATGAAGCTTGATTCTGAGCCGTCATCTAAAAACGCCCTACAAGTAAATTGATTACCTGCCTTATCTTCAACATTAACTAATGCAGTTTTCATTAATGTTAATTGATCATGACTTCCTTGGGTGTTGATGTGAGATGATGATGATTCCGATTGTGGCGTTGCTGCGCGTCTTGATTCGAAGTGAAGTAGAGTATTGTGACGTTTGTTGCATTTCTTACGTGAATGATTACTTGGACAGTCTTTTGCAATATGATTGGACTTGAAACAATTACGACAAAGCGACCAGTTGCTGACTTTGACTGACCTTTCCTCCGGTGACAAAGTGCGAAATGGTTGGCATTGGTAAAGATAATGTGATTGCTTACAATTGTGACACGATATTCCATTGGCTGCTGTGGCCGAAACATGATGGGAATGAGAAGACGAGTGTCGCCGTTCCCCCGAACCATGATGAGATTGAGAAGACGATTGTCGCCGTTCCCCTGATGATGATGATGATGACTTGCCTCCTTGGGATTGAAGTCCTCTGATGTGCTTCTCAAGGAATTCTTGTAATTCCTTGAGTGACGGTGGATCAGTGCCGGTTAGTGACATTGCCCATTCACGCCGCGTCGCTGAGTCCATCCTATCCGTCACAATGAACACGATGAGATCGTCCCATTCGTCCACGGGCCGACCTAACACACGAAGGGATCTCATGCTTTCCATTGTGACATCCAACAATTGCTGCAGACTTGATGCAGATTCTTGTTTGAGATGAGGTTGGCTGAAAATCCGATTGACTAATGCTTGAGTAATTTCCCGTTTGTTGTCATATCTGTCGACAAGCAAACTCCACGCCTCCCTGAAGTGAGAGTCGGTGATGGAGAAAGATTTGATGAGATTGAAGGCGTCGCCCTTAACACACACTTTAAAGTATTGCAACTTCTGCGCGCCCGATAGCGCTTTGTTGTTGTCAATACTTGCTATGAAGAGATCTTGAAAACTTTGCCAATTTTCGTACTTGCCGTCCAAATCTGGAAGTTCCATCCGTGGGAGCTTGACCGTGTCCTTGTGGATCGCTGCGCTGCCGCTTGTGTCAGGATAGGATCTCAAGATGACCTGCAGTCGTCCCAATGTCTCAATGATCCTCATGTCGAGATCATCCGCTTCCTCCACTGCCTTCTTCATCAGGTCGTCAGTGGTACACAATGAAAATATGTCGTCCGCTATGTCTCTTGCCTTGCTCTCCAAAGTTTCCACGCTTTTGAGAAGTCCTTTGGCTTCGTCCACTGAGAGAAGTTTTGAACTGTTTTCATGCTTGGCTATCGTCGCTTGGATCTTGGTTAGACAACCCTTATGCCCTCCTCTCATCCTCTCAAATGTGCTCATGTCCTTCGCCATTTTAACTTAGCGAATTCACACACACAAACACTATAAAACGAGTTCAACACTATTCACAACTGTCACTAGATAGTTCCCTTACACTTATTGCAAATTGACACTAGCAATAAATGCCGGCGATGACAATGCCGATCGGATTCACGAGACCAAAAAATGTTAGTTTGTGGCTTATGAAATGTGTTGAATTTGGTTTCTTGAATTTGGTGATGTCGAATAAGTGTATTTAAAACGAGCACAGAAGATTTAATTTGAATTGAGCAGTCATAAAGGTTTTAATTGTCAGAAATTATTACTTAGTTTACAATTTGGGAATTTAGTTTCTATTTAAAAATGACTTTGAATTTAGGATAGCAAGAAGAAGAAGTGGTTCAAATGGGTGACTGACTGAGAGTGAGTAAGTAGTTGAGAATACGGAAGAATAAGTAGCTGTTTGAGTGGAATGACCTTGAGCATTTACATAGTAGGATATGAGTTTTAGTTACAATACAATTGCATGGAAAGAGTCATATGAAATATTATACAAGCTACTTAACAACAAGTATTTTGACGATTTAGTATATATACAATATATAGCTTCTAAAATTTGATTGTGGGTTCAATCCATGAAGTATAATTGTATGATAAATAAATGCCAAAGTTTAGCGCCGGCGTGAATAGTCTAGTGTAATTTGTAACTAGTGGGAAATATAGGTGTTTACTGTTGACAAAAGTTTATTCAAGGTGGCAAATCATCAGTTACACTGCTCTCAAGATCAAGACACACTTTATAATAATCTTTGACTAAATTATAAACTTAACTGTCCATTTTACCCGTTACAAAATTACGTGCATACGTTTTGAATACTTTGATCGTAGGATATCTCGTAGGAGATCGTAAAAGATCGTAGTGTTGAAGTCTGATGTTTCATATGTCATAAATTATTTACATTAATTTATGCGGTATGTTGAAATTTGAAAGAAAAATGGATATTTATATTAATTCCATCATATTTGAAAATGTGAATACATTGCTTTCTTTATATACTCTAAAAAAGACTTGTTCAAAATTTACTCAAGGCTGGGTAAATATGTAGTTGGTTGGTTACAACATTCACCACATAGTTTTTCCGTAACCATTTTTATTAAATTTATGCATTTAATTTAATTACTTTCTGGAAATATGTTATCCTATTATAAAAAAATTGAAAGATGTTTGACGACTATATAAACTAATTTGTATGGTTGTCCCCGCAAATTGTACCATACAGATCGTTTACTGCGGTATTATGTACGATTTTTCTGCGTTATTGTATTGTTTCGTTAAGGATATGAGGACCTACATAATTGTACGACTCATGTGTAGTCAGTTTTCGTTATATATTTTTGTACATGTACATAATTCTGATTTCTATGTGGTACATTTATTCGCATGGAAATAAATAAAATAATATTTACCATACAATTCTGAAGAATTTATTGGTACGGTGTGTTAGTTTGAGTCTTAAATTTTGACAGGAAGAATTTTCCATGCATCATAAGCACGATAATTTATCAGGAATTTCAAAATTAAATTAAGAAGTATTATCCTACAAGTCTTTACATTTGTTGTATATTATTTTTATTTTTTGTGCAGGAATTTGAAGGAGTCTAACATCTAAATGCAGCATATACAATTACTGTAACTTACATTAGTAACTGGTCAATATTTCCGGCAAAATTGTATTGTTGGCATGATGAATCAACGTGCATAATTTTTTAAATTTTGTATCTTATATTTGCCAAGACTCACATTTAATAAATCCGCAAAAATAATTGTATCCTTCAAAAACTTATTTTAATAAATTTGAAATTGACTTCCTGCCGATTGCAAAATTTACGAACATTTTACATTAAATTGTCCCATGTAAATGTTGTAAAGTTGAATATGACAAACTAAAATAGAACATATTTATAAATTAATTTTAAGTATTGGAAATTTAAATGCAGTAATAGTTTGGTGAGACAGGTGTATCCAACCAAGTTTTAGTAGTCGAAATTCCTTATCACAAAAAAACGCAATAAAAACAGATCTTATTTAAATTGTGCAAATTACCTGATATTCGGGAAACTCGTCCAAATTAATTTTCTCTTTGAAATGCAAAATAAAAACACTTAATCTTTTAAAATAATGCATATTACCCCGTCTATTTCGAAGGGAGAAGTGTATGTTAAATAGCATATTAATTTATTAAGTCATCAAATCCTAAAACAATATGAAATATTTAAATAAAAAAAACAATACGTTTAACGCCGGTGAATTTATCTTCTGCAATGTGGGTTAAAAAAATTTAATGGTAGGTGATTCCAAACTGTCTTGATTTATCTAACAATTCTAATAAATAAGAAGTTTTCAAATTATAGTTGGACGACAACAATTAATAACCTTGACACTATTAATTTCCAAATAATAATATGCATGTCTTCACTTTTTAATTCTTGTCAGAAATATATATGGAATTCCAAAATGAGGTTAAAACATTGATACTTCTCCAAACCGAACAATCAGTTCATTCATTTTATTAGCGTTTGCTAAGGTTATCGGTTTTGTTGGTAGCGTGTGATCGCTCAATATTTTCTTTCCATCCTGGCACAGATCCTTACTTGGAAACTCGAAGGTGACACAAGTGATCTGACTTCGACGGGTTGGATGAACGTCCAGTACTGTGGAAAAATCTTTGGGCTCATTAAATCGGCAATCTAGATAATGCTCTGCTGGATGCGTGTCACGTTTATATTCCTGGAATTTTAGATTCCCAATATATTAATTGAGCTGTTTAATTTTGTGTGATGATATGGAATTATTTTGCCAAATTTTTGAAAAAAGTTGAAAGCATTGTTTGTCAAATTTTTCGTCGGCATTTACGACAAGTTTGTAACAGTTACATATGCCCTCTGATTCTAAATATAGGACCAAAGTTGATAAAGTAGGTTAATTCATACATCAGTCGACTTATAATTATTCAGACATACGTACGCTGACCAATGGCTAATTTCAAACCCTTCATAAGTGCGACATGCAACATCTTGCAATATCTTAGAAGTCAGTACTTTTTAGTTACTTGTTTACTTCGTAGTCATTATCTATGCGGGTCATGGGCTATTCTTATATAAATTTACTAATTAATTATTAAGGGCAGCCATATTTTCCTACTTTTTACGGTACAACCAGTTTTCCCCATATTGCCAACTTTTTCCACTTTCTAGAGGGGAAAAATAGTTTTGGATGGGTTAAACGAAAACCCGGGGAGACATTTCTAAATGTTTAATTTGTTCAATTGATCAGTCGAGTAATATGTGTCTCATTAAAATTTAAGTGGACCGAAACGAGTTGCGTAGTGAATTACATGTAGTGATGGAAATGCCGAAAATGTGCACAAAAGCAGACTAATTCAAATGAGGAGCTACAAACCTATACAATACATAATAAACCGTTGCAAACGAAACGTAGCAAAAAGGTGAAACCACGCAGAAATGTCTTTGGGGCACACCCTCATAACTTTCCCGTCATTTTCTGTCATTGTCTCAAAGTGCCCCGTCGCAATTTGCCCCACATCGGCACGTCACCCACGAAATATGAACCCCTTCGATCACCCCTTTCGAACGACACCCCATATGGTCAAATTTGTTCATTTGACCTTTGACCTGGTCCACTAGGTCACAGGAAGGTCATACGTCAAAAATATTGACGCCATTATATTCCGGGTTAATAAATGTCCTTAGGAAATGACACCCCACATGGCAAATATCCCAAAATACAGGTCGTTACCCTTTTGTGACCTATGGCCTCCATCTTCGAACTTTACGTCCTTTTTGACCTCAGGTACACGTGGTAAAAATTTAAGGTCGAAATTCTTATCCGTTCGAAAGTTCTCGTCCATACAGACGGACAGACAAGGTATTTCCATACTGGGGTTTTACCCCTTAATAAACCCGTAATAAAATTAAACTATTGAATAATTCAGTCATCTTATCTCATGCTTGGTGTAAAAATTCTCGTTGTTATTAATCTCTCATGAACTGCGCCATGATAATTATAAACTTGTATACCTTGTCACTTATTTTGTTGTAGCAATTATTCCCGATCCCATTCCTCCGCCGGGAGTTAACATTTTCACAGGAACACTTGAGAAATATATCTAGGCCTCGGCCAAGATCGAACCGAAAAATTTTTGATTTCGCATCTGACGGCGCAATAATTCTAAAATGGAAAAACGTAGGATTCTGTAATTTAATCAAATATCTTTTAGCAATTCATTAAGTTTATTATACATAGGACGTGGACCAAATGCTGGTTAGTATACTGGACTAGGTGAAATATCTATTTTGGTATATTTGTAAAATTAGGTTACTAGGTAACAACCAGGGTATCAGAAATCTTATCTCACCGAGAAATAGTAAGACTCACAAGATATGAGATTTTTGAAAACCTTCTAACCCCATATATTTAGCAAAACTAAAGGGAGTATTTAAATCATTATTTTATTATTTGATTTACTTTTATCTTGAAATTTCAAAATCATGCACATATTCAGAAATATATCACGAAAAGCTGACTGCACGGGAGCCGCACAATTAAGTGGATATTTAATTTTGGCAAGGTAACAATTTCCAACAATAGGTAGGAAATTTTAAGAAAATTAAATTTAAGTAATTACCAAATTTATTCATTAATTCCTTGGACGTAGTAAAAATGTAATATTAATATTAAATTCGCAAACAAATTAAAGAAGCAAAAAAACAATGCTCTGAAGGAAAAATCACTCGTTGTTTCTTAATCCGGCCTCTATGAGGGAAATATGTCTTATACATTGTAAATTGTGTAACGTTAATGTGCAAACGTTATCAGGTATTTACATGAAATTTCTTATTAAATTTGAATATTTCTCATCTCTTGCCAATGTAGCTGATCATTAAATCTCATTAAATCTAACTAGGTGATACATATATGTATATATATATATATCATTTGCAACCATTGCAATAACTGAATAACGGGTGGCCATAAAGAACCTGCTACACTACTACAACGACTTTTCTATTTCTAACATCTCGAAACATTCTTCATATACCTGAATGAAGTTTTTTGCAGACACTCCCTAATACTCTGTTGATCCTCCACTGGAGGCCAACATTGAATTGATACGGTTTGGAGGGGATTCTATTAAGTTTTCTAGCACGTCGACCGGAAGTGATTTTCACTTATGTTGAAATCCGGCTATTAATTGCTGTTTTGTTAAGGGCACCTGGGGTTCATAGGCTGATTCTCTGAGAAGAGACCACACGTTCTCAATTATGTTGAGGTTTGGACTATTTCCACGCCAAACGCCCTTTCCCCACACTTCGAAACCTTGCACTCCAAAAACGTGGTTACTACTTTTGCGGTGTGTGGTGTGGCGCCAGCCTGCAGAAATGTAATTTTTCTTTTGCAAGGAAATAAAGACCTATCCTTCAAGTATGAAATGTACATAGGGAGAATTTTTTCTTTATAGTATTCAGCGTTTACGGATTGGCTTTACATACATAGATGTAACGGCGTGAGTCCCTGGGGACAGAATCCTCCTGCTACCTTACTTTTGACCCCGTTCTTTGGGGTCACAATTTCGGGAACATTTTCTTTATTTACTGTATCGTATCTTTTGTTCTGTCTGCTTCCCGGAGAAATCAGCTCAGTCCAGGATTCATCGGTATACAAGACGTGAGAGCGGTTTTGCTGACCTCTGTGTCCGAGTTCCAAAAATTCCAGTTTTTGAAGTTTTTTTCCAAATTAGGTGCGGTCATCAATGTTTTTTGGCTTAAAAAGGTAAGAATAGACTGTTTGTATGCTGTTTTTACCCATAGTTTGATTTTGACAAAGTTGACCACTTGTACGGCAAATAGTTTTCCCCTTATCGTTGTACGGTTGTGAATCGTTCAGCTTCTTTAAAGCTTTCGCACTCATCTACCACTTTGTTCTTTCAAATTTGTCGTAATTTGTGACTTAGACGTATGTGGGCAACGATCTCGGCCTTCCTGATATTTTCTTATCCTCCAGTGTATCAGATATGAGCCAGTTACTAACTGTAGTTGGTGACGGGTCGAGAGTCGACGAAATTTTCCTAATTGGCTTACCCTCAGCACGTAGCACCTTTATCGCCACTCTTTTGTCTCTTCTGTTTAGAATGATAGCGTACATATTGAAAAATGAGCAAGATTGATGAAGTATAACAAAAGTTATTCACAATTTAATAAACACTAGCAGTTGAGTGGAACGTGTAACAGGTTCTTTATGGGCACCCTTTACATACAAAATTGAATTTTTTTTGGACCTTGGTAATCGACGTACAGTATTGAAATACATTTTAGGTGAGTGATACCAACAAAAACTATGTCATACTGCAGTATAATAAATATTTACGCATGCGATAGGTGCTTGCGATTTTTCGCCATGGACATGCTGATATTTACATATGTACATATCTATTATATAATGTACAAAAGTCCGTCCCGTTGAAATTTTCCGTACCATCCCAGAATTCTGATTGGTTGTTGATATTTGAATTGACCAATCAGGGCATTGGTTAATTCAAATATCAACAACCAATCAGGGCATAGGAATTGTTTCTAATTGTTTGGCATACAAGTAGTTATGCAGAATTTTATACAAGATGCTGACAGGTGATGCTGACAGGATTGAAAAAATACAATTTTTAGGAATTTGGGAAAATGGTACTTTTTGGTGGTTGCGACGCGTGGTTATGAGAAAATATGGAAAGTGAGTCGTGGGGATGATCGAGGTCAACCGATTATATCTCATCCAAAGGGGTGTCAATCGATAGCTCTGGATCATACGATCATATACACTCTAAGAAACTGGGTATTGATTTTTAAAAGTTTCAATACCAGTTTCAATACCGGCACTCCGGTATTAAATTTTTTTCTGGTATGATATTACCCCATCGTATTAATCCAATACTGCATCCGACTGGAATAACACGGTAGTGGTAAGCTTTTAATACTCATGAGTATTCACTCAATACTAGAATGGTTAAGCCACCAGAAACAACCAGCTTGGTATTGATTTTTTTAAGAGTGTACTATAGAATTTTGTGAGATACGAATTAGCTGTAAATTCTAGAAAAACTGATATTTTTGAGTTATTTCAACTTGATATTTTCCAAAATCTCAGTTTTTCTAGAATTTCACATTTCACAGCTAATTCTTATTCTACAAAATTCTATAATATGATCGTATGATACAGATTTATCGCTTGACACCCCTCTGGACGGCATCACTTGATCTGGATCGTCTCCCTACTTGTATACCACCTTGAAGGAGTATGGGGTCAGGGGTATTAGACATGGGAGTATAGAGTGTGGAATGAGGGGGGAGGTGGAGTATGGATTAAAAAAAATTCTTAGCAAGGTCAATAAAAATGTTTGTCAACAATCAAAAAAATGTCAAAAAATATCCTCAATGACATAAAAATAGTGGCCGCCCGTGTTTATGACGGGCTTTCTATGCTAGTGTATGTATATTAACTCTGCGGATTTCAAGTACTTAATTTAATTTTTGAATAAAATATTTGAAATAACCTCAACTGGAGGATTGAATAATTCTATGAATAATAAGCTTAAGCAATTAAAAATAATAATTTACGTAATTGATCTATCGTGCAGGGATCCTGATGGTCCGATCTGAACGTCTATCTCCATTCCTTCGAGGAGTTTATTCTCCGGGCGGTCAAAACACTTGGCAAATATGGCTTTGTATAACTCAGTAAAGGTTAGGTAGGTCGGCAACGACGAAGGATAATACGTAGTGCAATTGTCAAACTCCCATTCCTCCTTATCGCAGGTCCTTAAAATGAACTCACAGTACTTCGACTTACAATTGGGGAGAACGGCTTGAATACATTCCGCAAGACTATGGAACTATTAACCATACCATTAATACATTTATTTTATTACTTCATATTATCGTACTAGAGCAATCGCCTTATAGGATAGATCGCTTGGATTTTGGATCTAAAAGTGAACACAGGCTAATTTTAGAACTGATAATTTTATGTGGAGTACTCCACTACAGTGCCGTATTATATCAGTCAACAAAAATTACTTGAATATGTTAAACACGTCGTGTTTAACTTTTTCATCGACATCCTCTATTCGTTGTTTCCGAAAGAATTTGAAACTACAGGGTCAGTCCGAAATTTTGTTAATGTATCGCCTGTTTCATAAAGCTGGAAGCGTCTCTTCTTACATGGTGCCAATTTTTTTGTATTAGGGCCGAATTAAAGAAGTTTTTCGTATTTCAATCCAAAATTAATTTTTTCCTAACTTTTTCCTCGATGGTTTGTTCATTGTGTATTGAAGAAAACAGACTCCCAGTTTTAGTTTTATGATACTCCATGATACAGGGAATCAGACGCTAGATAACACTTTTCTGGAAATAAGTTTTTCCGTTCCCACAGTCATCATGGACTTTGACATATGGTTAAATTTGTCCTGCTCCTTCATAACTAGAAATTTGTTTGGGCTTGTTAAGGAACACTGTTTTTTTCATTAGTTTCCAATTAGCAATGTATTTGGGATATAACATAACCCTAGTGTAGTTTGCTGTCGGATTTTCAAGGATGTTAGGGACATCAATAATGCTTGATTTATTTCGGGGACTGATCTATTTTGTAAAGTTGAGGACGCGTAACGGCTACCATTTTTTCTTTAGCTCCCTTGATGTTACCCCCAATTTATGGGTTTTAACCTAATAGTAGTTTTGAGTTATCCTCAACATCTACTCCAGAGCAGGCTACAACGGGGTGAGACCACTCTTTGTTAAAATTTAATTAGATATTACTTTAATGAGTGCAAGCGAGACGCGTTTTTGGACTTCTTTGCAACTCGCAGCGTGACTTGTTCACTTTGAAATCGTACAGAAAACGTATTCTCCGTCGGAAGCTTTTGCAAATATGAGTACATGACGTCAGATACATATATTGGGAACATTCTACAAAATTTGCACTTTCCTAATACTTTTCCTGCCCCTTAACTAAGTTTACCAAATGATCCACCCTAAAAGGCGTTTACTAAATGTAATTTTGAAACACCATATTTGCAATCGCAACTCAATTCCAAAATACCCAAATTACAATTAATTTGCGTGGAATCTGCGTGGAGTGTTATTTTGAAATTAAGCATCGAGTGCACTTATGTATACTGATTTAGATTTGGCACACCAATTTGTGTGCAAATGTACATAAGAATATGTAGCTTCTAAATAATGATTATTTGTGTCCTAATTGATAATTTATATGGATATGAACATATGTATATATGCGAGTGCATGGTAAATAAACCGCTGATTTTTAAATAGTATGTATGAATAAGCATATGAGAGGGAACAAACGTGATAATCCTTGTAGATGTGGGGATCCACGATGATCACACTAGTAGCACATCTTGGAGGGATGTGGTGCTCTGAAAATAAGCGATCCCACTGGTACCGACCGCCATCTGGAATTAGCTCATAGCGAGTGCTGCATTTGACCTGTTGATTTTTAAATTTTAACATTGTGTTCGAAGTAGCCGTATTTTGACTGGATATTGCGAGTTGACAGTTTCTTCGGAAAATTAAAAAACAAGTCATAGTTGTAATAAATCCATTTTCAAAAGTTTCAAGCTTCGCAGATAATTTGTGTTTGTTTACCATATACTGACAAAAACTTGTGGGCGAGTGTGTTCACCTTAAATTTAATTTCCAACAGTGATGAAGTTATGCATTATCGACCGCTTAATCTAATGACGATTATAATCAGTAGTATGAACACATTTCTTATTGGAATTATTATTTCCTGTCGTTTAATACATAGATTAAAAATTTGTTTTAATATGTACGTATATAGGTGTGGTAACAACTTTTAGCAAAGTTACTACATAGAACGTTGTCCTATGTATATGCTTCAGAAGACAGCTCTGCAGATAATGGAGGAACGGAGTCAATAGCGAAAAGTAGACATAAGCTAATCACTATTTTATTATCACAGCGATATCACAAACTAACATGATAAGGTAGCCATAGTCGGACTGAATGTGGTGATATTTAAGTATATATTTACATATTAAAATTTATTACGTACACTACTACATACTCTACATTTGGACGAAACTTGCAAATATGATATTGCAATAATACGCTTATCGTCTCTGGAATTTTATATGATCTAGATTGATGCTTGAAGTATTTGTGTATGTGTGATGTCATATTCCACTTGATGAGTTGGAACTCACTCTTTTTTCCATCTTATCACTATCTGGGCCTTCTCGCGTCCATCTTTATTGCTGAGGTAGCAAGACACGTCTGATTCCGCCAATTTGTTCATGATGTAACGGTCGCTGACCTCAAATTTGCTGGTTTCCAAAGCGAACCTGTCTAATGAGCCAAGTAACTTGTGGAATATATCTGGCTCCTCTCTGGAACAGTTCAAATACTCGACGATGTCGTTGACGTATGCTTCCTAGAAATAGGACAAATAATGAATTGTAACGTTACACCGCATCTTTAGATTTTGATATATGTAGAAATTAAGCTACCGATCACTGTAGAATTTTTTGGTTTGTTAGGGTCGCAATTAATGTATACCAGAATTTTGACAATATATGTATGTCGAATTATATAATTTATGTCAAATCTGCTTTTGGTTAGGGTGTTAAAAAATTTGTAATCCTTCACTCATAACCTCTCTACACACTTTTTCCCGTGTGTGATCATAAGTATCTGTATTTCACACTGCATATATGTCAAGGTTATCGCGGTAATCATCAAACGGTCCGACAATTTTGATACAAAATAATGAAAAATTTTGACACTAGTTTGCGCATTTTTATTCCTACATTAGCCTAATATATGTATCCGTTAAAAACTTAAGGCGGATAGGATTAGTTTAATAGAGTTATTGTCCAAACAGTCAGACAGATGGACATGAAGGTTCATAAGCCCTGACTCTGGTTAAGAAATCAAAGTATATACGATATGTTTATATTAATTTATTACCGTTTCCTTGTTTATTGAAGGCTCTACGAAAGCTAGCTCGCTCACTACTTGCCCCTTGCGTGTTCTTGCTTGTGATATAATGTGATTCTGTAAACGGTTGATTTTGTGATGTAGTCTAGTACCCCAATTCTTAACGTCCTGATCGAATTTAATTACGTCGATCATGTCATCATCCTCTGGTTTTTCGTGGTCCGAAAAATTTGTAGGTTCCTATGTACCATGATTGGAAAAATTGTCAAGTAGAGATTTCTTTGTGAATATGTATGTAAACTATTCATATAAAACCGAGTAATCAAGAAAGTTGGGAACAAGCTCGTTAATTTACGATAAAACCGGCCCAGTCAGCGAATTGTAATTGTTGGTGAGAATTCTTGACCACACGTTCTCTTAATTGTTCAAAGAATTCACAAGGAATTTTAACCTTGAATCATCTTGCGAATTCATAGCCGGCTCGTAGTAAATCTACCTATTCGTTGTGACACAACCACCAATGGGGCACACTTATATTTTTTAGTGGAGACGTATAAGTTATAGCTAACGCATTAAAACTATACAGACACATATTTAGAGTCAATTTTTGGGGCTTGTTGAGACTTCAGCTGAAATCGTACTCAAATTTTAGCACACATCTTCTAACATACATGTGAGGGTAATAGGGATGTAAGGCTATTAAGAGTCTGTGAACTTTCATATGCAATTTTAATGTAAAATTTTCAATAATGTGAATTATGTAAGTGGAAGCTTGAATTTAAAAAAAAAACATTTGACCCAACGCTATGAATCGGCGGCTATCTGATTAATGATTTTACGTCATCATGCCCCTATAATGATTTATCATAAGTTGCATTAAGATCACCAGTATGGAACTCTGGGAATCAAATGTTAAGTATCCCCAACGTACTTGAGGAAGTTTGCTTGATATTTCCAGAAAATTTTATAGACTCATAGTAATCATTCGGCGGGAATCTGGTTAATGATTTATTATCATCATGCCCCAAGGATGATATAGCATGAAGTGCATTAAGATCACCAGTGAGTATCTAAACCGATTCGATTGGACTCGTATCGATATCACCCTTACGCTGGGCTGGACGATTCTGGGATGGGCTAACTTCCTGCATATTATGGGGCAACCATTTTGGTACTTGAGTTTATTGAGAATTGTTAGTTATATAGTTTTATAGTATATGTTTCTGCATGGCAAATGTATTAGAGAATTTTGTAAAATATAAGTTCCCTAGTAACCACATTTATTATCCCTTACGTACCTTCGTATCAAATGTTGAAATGTCCGACGACGTATCCATGGGTGTCACCAATGGGTAGTCTTGCAAGTTTTGATAAGTTGACTGCCCATCTACCCAAAATGAAAAATTCAAAGACTTTGTAAATAATTTGTAAATTATTAAGGGATTAAGGGCATTCATGATTCTGTCGTATCCTTAGTATCGTAAAATAGAGTTTATGAAGAAAAAACATGGTCCACGCTTGTAGAATCGTAAGCGTAGTAACGCAAATTTTAATGGCAAAATCTTAAAACGCTTCGTAACCGTCGTAACATATTTTGAGATACAAAGAATACGACGAATCATGAATACCCTCATTGTAAGTAGAACGCGACATGCATAATTATTTACTTTCTTCGCTGCCTACGAGGAAAAGACAGTATGAATAAAATGTTTATTTACATATGCATGTATGTATGTATGTGTTTATTATTACGTAATTGGCAAGGCGATATGATAACGTAAATTGTAAAACTATGTATATGCGACAAACCCGTTTAGCTAAAGCAACAAGAGCTACACATACATACATACTCTTTTGATTCTGTAATGATTACCTTGGAATTAAAATTAATTTTATTTCCCAATATATTCGTATCGACCTAGGGATCGAATTTGAAGTCTATTCTAATAATATTACATTTTGACTTGTTTGGCCCTTTAGAAGTATACGAAACCTTAAACGCTTCGCGGTTTTCAATTATTTTTTTCATATCTCCTATGGAGAATCAGTTTACTTCCATTGCCAGATCCTAGTCATCAAAATACTTACCATTAATTTTGTAAGAACTAAACTAGCCATCATGTAAGCCAGACAGGTATAGGCTCGAAGGCACACTATTAGAAGTGTGGTTACGATTATAACCAAAAAGTAAACGTATATTATTCTACCGCCAAGGTGATAAATTTATCACCGATTGGTGAGAAGTTGGAAACCGACTGGTGACAAATATAACCAGTTGAGAGAAAATTATAAGTAATCTGGTTATTATGATAACTAGTTGGTGGTAAATTATCACCATGGCGGTAGAGTCATATGCGTCTACAAATTCTGACAATATTTCTGTGAGTGCAATGATGATGACTGATTAGATAAGTTTTGCATCATTCAATAAAAACATAATGAAGCCAATTGTTAGGTAATCGTAAATAGTAATAAATAAAATGTTTCCCGTGTTTCGCAAGGACTATAGCCTAGTATAATGATAATGTAAATATGTAGAGTATACGAGTTTGTGTACGTGGGTTGTGTCTATACTTTTCGTTGGTGGACAATATGATTCGTGCTCTACGAAGTTGGCTAGGTATATGCATACATACACATGTAGGTTGTTGTTTATGATATTTTATCTAATTTTCAATTACTATATGAGGGAAAATAATGTACCTTTGTTTCTCTTAAGTTCTGCCCTTATTGCATGCGTCCCCTCGGTAATGACTGCTTTTCGTATCTTTTTCTCTAGGTCTGGTGTCCAAGGATCAAAGCATACACCATGTGCCAAAAAGTAATGGATGACATCTATGTTTAATAGAAAAGTGGAATTATTGCACTTAATTATTTAACGCATCTGAGAAAAATATGACTGGATGGGAGGAAAGCAACATTTTGAGTTGGAAAAATAAATGACTAGTTAGGAATATCTGATTTAAATGATCTATTATGGGCCATAGGAACAACTGCAAAACTGGGTTATCCGTTATCCGGATAGTGCTTGGTTACCAATGATTTGCCACTGCCTGTTTTCGTCCAGTTTTCCGCTTGTAAATGCGCTTTTTCTTCCGGATGGTGTATAGTTGCGCAGTTCGTCCACTTCAAAGATCGCATGAAGTAGATTTGTTCCCATACGGATAGGTCCATTTTTAGAATAAACTTTCTTTGCAGTATTCCACGTGGCTACAGAGAAAGCATGGATTCTGTTTTGTTTTGATTCCCCCCAACGGATTTCAATATTCTAAATTTAAATAAAAAAATAATTTATTTCAAGATAAACGCCAAAATTATTGACGCGGTAGTTTCTACGGAACTGCGCATCTACATATTTAAAAATAATTAACAAAATTAATATTTACAAAATATCTTCCACCCATGCTCCTGAACTTAGGAGGAGAGGTCGGGGTATGGAGACTCGCAGATCCTTTTGAAACTTTTACCATTTCAACCCCTCGATTAGTTAGGAAGAAATCCAAATTTTTAGGATTCCATGGCCATCCGTTCAAAAGATTTTGACCTTTGACCTCAAAATCCATATACATATATGTTAAGCAAATTTCACGTTTCAACGCCGAATAACATATTTAGTTTGATTTAAGAATAGTTTTGGCAAATATATAATTTGATCACTATATTAAAATAGAATTAGATATGTTATTCGGCGTTAAAATGTGAAATTTGCTTAACATGTATTTATATGGATTTTGAGGTCAAAGGTCAAAATCTTTTGAACGGATGGCCATGGAATCCTAAAAATTTGGATTTCTTCCTAACTAATCGAGGGGTTGAAATGGTAAAAGTTTCAAAAGGATCTGCGAGTCTCCATACCCCGACCTCTCCTCCGGGAACGTCCAGATATTATATAAACACGGTCCCAAAAATCGGGAAATCTTAGTGACGTTTGTGTGCGAAAACAGGAAGTAAATATATTCTCTTGCAGAACGTTTGCATCACCACTCTAAGAACTAATTGTCTTACGCGACCGCTCCCATTGTTTCAAGATCACTGCTATATCTACTACACCACTCTTTTCTTTCATAATCTCAAATTTATATTCCCAATCATCGTCCGATGTTGGTTCAAATCGTTTAATTCAATATAATTGTCACAAATGGGCATTTTTACATAATCTGGAAATATATCAATAATTAGCGGAGTGGTGATGCAAATGTTCTGCAAGAGAATATATTTACTTCCTGTTTTCGCACACAAACGTCACTAAGATTTCCCGATTTTTGGGACCTTGTTTATTTATAACTTATAATTGAGTTATTGATAAAAATCAGGCATTCCTCAAAATTGCATCAACAAAGGAAATATTGTGATGATTTTTGTAGCAAATGTTTTTGCAATTTGATAGAACTACCATTTTTTGACGAACTACGCAGCGTCTTAATCGTTGTCATTGACAACTTGCCAATGGCAGCAATATTTAGCCCTGCATAATTTGCGTTTATTTTCTGGGGTGCAAACTTCAATATCTCCGTCAATTTTTAACCGAATATGGACATCTCTATGTTAAAATTTACAGACAAACATGATCTAAAAGGTTTGAATAAGCGAGACTTCTAGCATTGTTCAGTAATGTAAGATAAATGTAAATGCGTTTCCAAGGCATATTTTGTCTAACACGTCACAATCAAAGGATCCCTTGGCTTCACCAGATCTGGGCTCTACATGGTAAAACAATGATCTGGGTCCAAATTTTATCAAAATCGGTCAAGAATTGACTGAGAAATCCTAATATGTCACTTTTTTGGGGTGGTGAAACTACATACTTAGTAATTTTTTGTTGCTAGGTATTTGCGTCACTAAGAATAAACATATCGGTTGGTTGTCTGAAGTCGCATATCTTACTCGTGTTAAGTTTAAAATTTTGGAAGCCTACCAATGGTAGTATGATGGGTGGCTTAGAATATGACAATCTTACGTATGTTTTAGTAATATTTGTATGTTCTCTTAAGTAATTAGATCTCGGAGAAATTTATTGAGGGTTAATTTTATAAAGTGTAAAGATATGTATCGCTATAATTATTTTCTTCCAAGACCATTTATGTGCTTGTTAATAAAAAATTTCGTCAGCTATTTGCTTTCTCAGCAAAATACCACTTTAGTTTTTGTCAAATTACTTAAAAACTTATTTCGTAGAAATTTCATAAAATATGGTATGGTTAGATAACGTATTGCCATGAAAGGAATAAGGGACTGCGGAAAAATTTCCGCTCTTTCTCACCTCATGTGCACGTGACTGAAGTGATGGAAAAGTGCCGTAATGATGAATTTGCGCATTTTATTAAAATAGTATTAAAGATTATAATTTTTCATATATGACACTTTACTTACACAATTTAATTTTAAAAGGAATTTTCGGAAATAATATTAAAATCCTATGTCATTTCTGTTATTTGTTGTTAAAAATCTTACAAACCCATCTATATTTAAACATCAATTTTTTCCAGTGGATATATTAAAATTAATTATGAAATATAAGAGTTTTATTTTACATAAATCAAGTAAAATGTAATATGTAAAAAAAACTTTGTTGCGATGCAAAGCCATTTAGAATGTTTAAGAAGATTCGTATATATTTCAATTCTGATTCTCAAGTGCAACGGATACGGCCCTTTGTCTAGTCTGTGAAAGAGATTAATGCTCAGTGCGGTTAAATTTTGAATTTGAACCCGCAGTCCCTTATTCCTTTCATGGCAATAGAAAAAGTGATTATTTTAATATGAACTTTAGTTCTTTTGAGCTGCCTTAAGAAATCCAGACTAAACTTTTTAGGAGAATCGCTCGTCGGACAGAATCACATTTTTGCCAAACAAAATTAAGTAATTACCAGAGATACACAAGTCGAATCCTTTGCGAGCTCCTTTAGCAATATTGGTTCAATGCCGTTAACATTTTCCTTATGTTTATACACGTCGAGCAGATTCTTGTCCAGCTGCAATTTTTTGACAGTAAATGTATAACTTTCTTCATGTTTTCTTGAAACCGTTCTAGGTTTTGGAGAATTTGATGGTTTTGCTAAAGACATAAATTTAGTGAGATATAATGAAACCTATAAAGTTCTCTCTCAAATGATGTTTGCCATGGGAGAAAATATCCTTCGTTTTGTTTTACCTATATGGCCAAAGCGCCGATGTAAATATTCCTTTCCTTTGGAGGAAGGAATTTCCTCCAAAAAATCTTCGCCCGGGTACAACAAACTTCTGTCCCTTCGGTACAACCACGTGGAACGGAATGCTTCAGGAAGCCCAATTTGTACGTGATGTAGCCCACTAGGAATATTTCGCAAACTTAGCAGAATTTCTTTGTCGATATCTTCACATTCTCTGATTGTGGGATATTCATTGTGCTCGGGTATTTGGGAATCAAACATTTCTTCGTATCCCAACGCGATGGTTTTTCTATTGTGTATGAATTTGGAGGCACCTGCAACGTTTGGTTCGGCTAAATATAATTGATACACTCAAAAAAATCGGGTAATAACCGTATTACCAGCGGTGGCATATATTACTGACGTAGTGTAAATATACCCAGTGTAGTCATAGATACTGATGCATGATTTCCCGGGAAAAATATTGAGACAAGAAATGTTTTTGGCATGTTTTGATATTTTTTAAATTCCCCACCAAATTTACTTGTTGAATCCCAATTTGTACTTGTTCTCATGAACCGTTTCAAGATGACGTAATTTAGAATAAAAGGTGCAGACGAGCTCCATGAGCTATCGCCGGTGAAAAACATTTCATCTTTTTTTCGAGTATTTTCTTTCAAAAACTTGTTAAGGGGGTCTAAAATATTTAATTTAGTCGGTTTTTAAAAATTTTGGATTCCCCCATTCTTCCATATTTATGAAAAACGTTTAAAAACGTTTTCAGCTTTCTCCCTTCATTGTGACGAAACTACCAGAGCTACAGAGGTGTAACTTGGCATGGACAATCCCTGAGGGTCAATCTTGAGTCGTTTTCGCCCTTTAGTCGATACCTACCTTCTGTGACCTAAAAATGACATTTTTTCGACATGGTCAAATCGTACCGAGTCGCATATAAAATTAAAGTACTCACTTTCGGGATTATGAAAATATATATTTCAAGAACTCGACAATTTAGGAAGAAATGTAAAAATTTTCGACTCGCTGGCCATCCGTTCTCAAGATTTTGACCTTTGACCTCGAATTCCATATGCATACATGTCAAGAGAATTACATGATTTAACGCCGAATTGCAATTTAAATATAATTTGATATTAGATTTTAAGAATACAAAATTAGGTTAACTATTATAAAATAAAATAAAATGTATAATTCGGCGTTAAATCATGAAAAATGCAATCGCAAATTATTATCAACAGAACAGATTTGTATCAAAATTGTGTACTAAAACTGATAATATTCTCTCGTATGGCGAACTCAAGGTCACCGATTGGGTTGAAGTATATATTTTTATAATCCCGAAAGTGAGTACTTTAATTTTATGTGACTCGGTACGATTTGACCATGTCGAAAAAATGTCATTTTTAGGTCACAGAAAGTAGGTATCGACTAATGGGCGGAAACGACTCAAGATTGACCGTCAGGGATTGTCCATGCCAAGTTACGCCTCTGTAGCTCTGGTAGTTTCGTCACAATGAAGGGAGAAAGCTGAAAACGTTTTTAAACGTTTTTCATAAATATGGAAGAATGGGGGAATCCGAGATTTTTAAAAACCGACTAAATTAAATATTTTAGACCCCCTTAGCAAGTTTTTGAAAGAAAATACTCGAAAAAAAGATGAAATGTTTTTCACCGGCGATAGCTCATGGAGCTCGTCTGCAGCAATAATTTTTAAAAATGTACATAAAAAAATTGGAGGACATTTTCATTGTGCTGAAAAAAATTGAAAAACATGTGAAACACAGCCATCAATCTTGATAAATCCGTACACCAATATCAGGAGTGATAACTACAACTGATAGAGTGGAAGTCGGCGGACGGCGTACTCCCCCCCATCACTTAAAGTGATCAAAACAAGATTTTCAGAAATCCACGCCGGAAGCGACAAAAAATGATCCAGGAAATTACTCTACCAAGTTTGTCCGGATACCACCCGTCAAGCATAACCTGGGACCGAAGGCATTTAAATATATAAACTGCATTTGCTGACATCACGCCAAACTAATAATATGCTCATGAATATCGGAACTCTCCTGAAGCTGTACGCGAATGAGAAATGAAAATGCATGCTTTTTCTGATCCCATAATTTTTAGGATTGAAGCTAAACACAACTACGAGAATCACCGCGTTTATGCCAAATCTTAAAGGCAATCTCATAAACTTTGGAAGAAGACAATTAGGCTCGTTCCGACCATTCCGTACCTTTGTTGGTTTGATGGTGTGTAAGCTGGTTTTGGGGAAAAAACGTGCATTTTGTAATTCCGGGGGCCAAATTGAAGGCAATGGGATATTTATGCAGGAACCCACTCCGGCGCGCATTATTAAAGTCTACAGACGTGGATGAAAGACTGTTTTTTACTTAATTTCCAAACGACATGGGCCTGTAACGTCGCCGGACCTCAACCCTTTGAAGGACGGCAGATGGTCTAAACGTGAGCTTGAGACGTGTGCTAAATCTCATAATAGTTTGGAGTCGCTCAAAAATTTCATTACAAGGAAATGGGATTAGTATTCCTTAGAAAGCGTGCGTACCACGATCGAAGACCGGTTTCCTAGACTTAAGGCATGTGTCGCCGCAAAAAAAAGTCATTTTGAAAAATGAATACACTTTTTCGAATTTCATTGGCTTTCCTCTGATGTAATCGGTTTTTAAATATTTAATAAAGTTTTGCTGCTAGAATGAATTGTTCATGCATCAGTATTTACGACTACACTAGGTACTAACACGCTTTTAGTTTTCACCAGCCGGTTCCAGACATCACCAACATGGTAAGATTTTGTTCTGATTCAGTAGCGTGTTTATAATGCGGTACAATCATATGTACATAGTTACCGCTTCGGACATACATAAAGCTAATTTATCATGATTGGTCATTTTGTAAATTCCCTAAGAAAATTTGAACTGGCTCAGAATGTGGGCCAATACTTTTATAAAAACACAAGTGCTAAATTAAGATAAAAGACTTCACCTCATTCTTCCAAAGATTATGCTATGTTAAATTATGTATTGCAAACTTACGATAAATTGCCAGCATCTCAGTAGGGAAGATAGATCCTAGCCAACCAGGGGACCCCATCATTTCGACATCGGCAGGGTCTGTCTCGTTTAGGAATGGTAACCTTACTATACTGCCTGATAATTTTGCTGCTACCCTTCCAATAGATTCGGAACAACTTTTAAACGCCTCCTTCCAAATGTCGTCTCGAAATTGGATGGTATCCTAATTACAATAAAATAATTTAATAAAGTAGTCTGTCGTCTTATATTGATTTAAAAAATGGTAGTAGGCAAAGGTTCAGAAATTTTTTTTGGCATAATTGAACCCATAAAATAAATTTAGGCAGCTATGTTTTTTTCTCCTGTCTAATGTATAAAATATTCTATCTATGTAAGATTAGTCCATTCTCTGTCCGTCTGTCTGTGGGAACGCATCTCTTCAATGTATTGGAATACCATAGCACATAAGAATAGCATGACGTATTTTTAGAGCATATATGCCAGTTGATTTTGTGTCCGTTGGTGGATAGATCTCCAACCGTACAGGTCGTTAAAGTATACTATCCAGCGCTGGGCCATCCAAATCTTAGGTCACGCAAGACGTTAAAAACGGTTCAGGTCAATTCAAACTTGTCTACGCTACTCAAGAACGCGAAAATAGGTTAATAAAATTATAGACTACATTTGTAAAGGATTGTCTTCATCCAATTTTTATCGTACAACCATCCGATCGCATTCTAATCGTCATCTGATCGGATTGCAGAGTAGTCACCTTACCAACCATTCAACCTCTATTTATATGCGTTACATATGTGGGTTATGTATAATCTAAATGTTTATATAACTGATATATATATACTCTGCAATCGGATACATATATACAGAGTAGTCAACCAACCAATCATCCGATCGCATTCTGATCGTACAGATTACAGATTGTACACATCGTACAGAGTAGTCACTGATTCATACATGGGTTCACTATCTCAATCATCCATTCAATGTTATCCAAGGCGTTATCAATGAATCCCGTGTTTTACACGGGCTATGGCCTAGTAAATAATAACAAGTAATAAATAAGGCTTGTCCAACATCGAAACATCCGATTCTCAAATAGCTGTGCCAAATATTTTTCTTAAATTTTGATTTCTTGTAGTATATGTACTACATTAAATTATGTGGGAGTTGACAATATATGTAAACACCACTCATGTATTTAACCGGTAACCAAAATGGCACGAGAAAAACATCAGAAATTTTGAAATACATAAGAGTGGTGCACTACACAAATCCGACATAATTTCACTGTTAACCCTTCCAATTACTTACTAGAGCAGCGCCCAAGGTATTGCAAATTTCTAAATCAACTTAACATCGAATTAAGGAGAACTAACTGAGATTCGAGAATTTACAAAATTTAGGTACCAAATCAGATTAATAATCAGAAATAACGTGCCAAAACTACATCGTATATATGTTTCGATGTCGGGCAACCCATAATACATAAATAATATAAATATATAAAAGCGATAGAATCGTATTTTTGTCTTACACGAATCTTACTTACCTGTGAATGATGCAATTGTATTTAAATATTTTATAAGAATGGAATGATTAAGTATGTAAGATGACATTTTTACAATATACAACTCACAAATTAGAATTTGTAAGGTTTAATCACATGATGCTACCTACGTTCTGCGATGGCAAGGCAAACACACGAATACAGATAAATTAAGGATGAAAAAGATTAGGAGACACAATTTTGTACACTCAAAAAAAGTAGTAAAAAATAATAATTACTACTTGGAATGACTGTATGACTCGGCCACGTCATTGGTGTCATGATCAGAAATAATAATTTAAGCGAATTCAAATTTATTACCAAAGGAAGGAAACCAATGCAGTAAAGTCATAAATTTCCCTTAACATATTATTACTGATTATGAGACAGGTTTTGAATGACGTGGTAAGGCCATTCCAAACAAATAGTAATTATTATTATTTACTACTTTTTTTGAGTGTACATATGTATTCATTGTGTTTATCAAATCTTACCACAATTTGATTCGTATCCTGACATATTGTGCGCCTCGTCAACGCAGCAGCTATTTGTGCGGTATCCAACCTGAGTTCTGTTACCAGCTCGGAATTTTTGTTCACCATTTTCTTAAATATGTCTTCGTAGTGAAGCTCCATTTTTGAGTTGTCGATAAATTCAGCGCTGGCTTCCGAACTTTCGTCTTCATCCCAAAATCCGCCGTTGGTACTATCAGTATCGATGTTATCAATGACAATCATACCCATGTTTGATCTAGCAGGCGCGTCCTGGTCATGGCGTGGATCGAACTCGCGTAGTACTGCACGAACAATGAAGGTCAGATCATCGTCCGGGTAAGGGACCTGGCGGACGATTTCGTCGAAACTAGACGGAAATGACCACGGATTTACGTGTGATGTAGGCTGAAACTTGGCCATCATGAATGATACGGCGTCTAAAATAAAATAATCCAATAAAATTCCTTAGCTGGAAATCACCCTCACACTAGAATGTACAGTTCATTTAAACGGCTATGACACCTCATTTGCATATTTAAGACCGCACAAAACTATAGCACAAAATCATAGCACACTTGGAATATCTTTCGTAATAATATAAATATTTCTGGTGGTACAGATTGACAAAAATGGCTCATTTTTCCACTTATTTGAGAATTTTGTTAGTCCATAACGCCAGAAATATTTATTTTATTCCGAAAGATATTCCAAGTGTGCTATGATTTTGTGCTATAGTTTTGTGCGGTCGTAAATATGCAAATGAGGTGTCATAGCCGTTTAAATTAACTGTACGTCCTGCGATCTACAATTGTCAATGTTAAACAACTTCTCGTTATTCCCATATGGAAAACATGCAGCCATTTGAAAACTAATTTTATAATTTTACGATTTTATGATGAAATTTTATGGTTTTAAAAACTGGGGATATTGAGTTTTTTTAGTTTTGTCATTCTTAGAGTTTAGATAATTTGATTTCGGTATTTCCTAATTTTTGTATTCAATGTAATTATGTATGAAAGTTGATTGGGTTAACCACAAATCTTAAAACTATAAAATTAGTTAAAACTAGTTAAAATTATATATTAATGATTGGTTGATACGGAATGCCAACTGGCAAGCGGAATACTTTCATGTTATGGAAAGTATGTATAATTTATATTTCAAGAGCTTATGGGATAGGCTTTTTGAAATTATGATAAATAAATTCTGCTTTAGTGGTTTTTACTCACGTTCAAAAAGTTTGACAATGTTACTTCTTGCAATTCTATCGGCAATAATGATCCGACGGCATTCTGAATGAACGATGGCCTTCCAAAGACATCTTGTGGTGGATTCAATGTCCCGCTGGTTAAAGGCTGCTGCCCAGGCGACAGGTTTAATTTTGACGTTGAATGGAGCTCGATAATCCCTCATACCACTTGGAATCTATTAAGTTAAAAAGTGAGTGGAGGATTTCTTACAAAAAATACCAAAACGACGTCAATGACTATGTAAAAGCCTTTGGCAATTTCTGTAAAATGAGTGATGAAATTAAATAGTACTCATTCTACAAGTACGCATTAAACCTGCTAGTTTCATCTACCTTGCTGCTACTAAAATCTGGACATATATATGATATTTTCCGTTATATTATGGATTTCTCAAAAGTGGCTCTACATATCTCCTTGATTTTTATATAACAAATGATTATCATATTTCGTAGTGTTTTCGTAAATTTTCATTGACGTGGATCAGATTTAAAAAGTATTGGCGACTATCATTTCATGTACTGCTGAACTTAAGGTGTGTGGTACGGATGTGGAACACTGACTATTATATACATAATTTCCTTTGATTTTTGTGAAGGGTAAATTATGGATCAAATTTGGTGTTTCTTAATGGTGTTCAGCATTTAGATTCGAATGGAATACACTAAGTCGCGCACTAGCTCCTTATATGTACTTACATAGCTCGTGCTAACTCTTTTTAAGCGAATTTCACCTTACCTTCTGGATGACCAAATCATAATTGAGGAACGCTTGATGATATATAATATGGTTGGTCCCGCTTTTATTCGATTCCTTGGTGGCTGTTCTTAAAAAACTGTTTCGTGATCCTTCGAGTTCCATAGGAAGGTAGTCTTCCATGGGTTGGTTCCATGGATTCTTTGGTAACATTATTTGCAAACCTGACATTTTTCTTGATTTGCTTTTCTATTTTTGTGCGCAATGAATTTAGCTAATTAAATTCATAAACACGGGGCAAATAAATAATATAATGTAACGATAAAAGAAGTCTTATAAATGACTGAATACTATTCGTTATTTGAATTCTTTATATCATAACCAATATGCTGGCAACATATTGACGGTGTTAAGGCGTATAAAAGATCCACGTAGATGCCCAATATGCCCAATATTCCTGTAGGGGTGATTTGTAAAGGGGGAAATTAACAATATCGCCCCCACATCAATCATGGGATTGATAAGCGAACCACTTATGTGTAAATAATTGCACGTTGTCCTCATAACGCAGATATGAATGGCAGATTATGTTTATCATTTATCAAACTAAACATAAAAACATAGCAACGGCAAATCAAACGTTGTTTTATTTGTATAATGTTGAGTAAGATTAGTTTAATTAGATATGTATGCTTCACCTCTTTCATTTTAAACGTGCGATTTTTGTTACAACGAGAGATTTTTGTGGGGCCAAGTGAGATTTTGACGGGGTAAGTCTGACAGGATGAGTTTCGACAGATCAATACGTTGAACCATCGAACCACGTAGTGTAGGACGGATTCTGCAGTAAATTAATAAAGTGAAGCGACTAAAGAAATGGGTTAGGAGAATGAAGGCACCTTTTAATTACTTATTGAATGAAGGTAATTTAAGGAAAGTTCTTCTCCACACTCGTAAAAACCGTGGCAACAACGGATTACCGTTTGCACTCAATATATGACTTTTCCGACTTGGTAATTAACTTATTACGGAGAAGTATTAATTTGCTGTCAAGCTTGAGAAATATACAACCACATTTCAATAAATTTTACAAGCTTGCTAACAATTATATTACCATGCCGAACAGTCGAATACACTATATGTGACTCTATATTTAATATAGAGTACAAATGGTAACATATTGTTACCACAGTTTTTATAGTGCAGTTGAAAATAAGTGAAGGGGAATAACCCCAAAATTATTTGTGCAGGTACATACGTACGAGGTGTCGCACATTCCCAATCGTGAACGCCAGCATAAGTTCATTACAAAGAAATTCTGCGATAAGCCATGCTGGCGTCAATGCTGTGAAATTATCTGGTTATATGTACATATTATTTGTAATTTAGGCTGGCCATAATAAACGGCAAGATAAGGCATACGTATGTAAATATGTTCACAGATACTTACCGATAGTTGTGTGTATATCACGAGGCTTTACTGTCCAAAAATTATTACAAACGGGAAATACGTCTGATTAAAAATGAAGGACAGGTTGCTCTGAAGTTGATGTTTTTAATTCATACTTATTTAAATTATAATGATAATTTTGCTTATCTATTTGCCACCCCCCTTAATTTTACATATTCCGATAAAACACATATGTGTATTGGGCATGCAAAATTGACAACATAAGTGTACGATTAATTATTAATCATTAATAATGCAAAATTTCCTTAATTAAACGTCCCATCCTACAAAGGACAAAAGGAAATTTGAATTGTGTTCCTTTTTAAAGTGGGTCCAGAAAATACAGCTATTAGGAAATGCCATCTCGCACTCAAAAGCAAGTATGATGGAATACTAAGGGCTTGGATAATACAGAGTATTAAACAACAATAATTGGTTGGCACACCCCATTATATAACAGTGAAGGATGAGCCACCACCAGAATGAATTGATGTCCTTTGTTTTGATATAAACATATATCACAACCTGCTTGATGTTAGAACAAGACAACTCTACCACACCCGGCTGCGTATCTAGCTAGGCTAATAAATATTGAGAAGTAGTGATTAAAAGTTTTCAAATATAGCTAAATTCTAAGAACTCCGGTAAAAAATATTTCTTGGATAAACTTATTACCCAGGTACTGGTACATTTATTACTGAAAACGTGCATAATATTGCCAGGCGATGATTCTATATAACTCTACCGCATTGAAATAAAAATGTTTCTATCATAATCAGCGTTAATTCTTACCATGTTGATGAATCCATGTAGAACTAATTATTAACAAGGCGACATATTGACCCAGCTATAGATTAATCCACGATCAAGTGACTCGAAAAAGGAAAAAAAGCTTCAGTTTTTTTCATATCCCAAATCTTTTCCATGAATTAGGTACATCTTTTCGTAAAATGTGCAAGCTATATTAGTTTTATTCAAAATTTATTGATTGTTTAAGGTTTAAAGATGTTTCGTGTGTGGGTGGAATTTTTTATAACTTTTACCTTAATGATTGCATTATCTTAAATTTACCAAAATTTACCCTAGTTAAGTTGCTAAGGTATGATTCTAAATAAACCATTTCCCTAGTTTACGTAAAAAATGAAAACATGCAATCTTGATTAAAAAAAAGATTTTTTAAAGATTTTAAACCAGTTAAATATATTGATTAAGTATTTTCTGAAAATAGTCATAATTTGAAACGTTACTATTTCTTACCATCATAAACTTATAGGTCTAAAAGTATTAAGGTTATAAGAACTACATTATTGCATTGTTCTGGAGATTTGATAACCCACTCTATTACATCGGTGACATCGTAAGTATTAAGTGGTTGTGGAATTTAAAAAAATTGAGTCGAAATTGAAGATACAGTTGTAAAAATTAAAATTACTTGTAAGTACGTAACTGTACCTACTTTATAAGGTAACAGAATCAAATACTGAAATTGTTACAGATAAATCTTAAAGATGCAGATTTAAATTTTTGGAACATAATTTTGCATTCTTTGCTTGTAATGCGAAGAGTGTAACTAAAATTATAAAATTGAACAGCGGATTGAATAATTTTAATAAATTCATATAAACTTTTTATAGAGATTAAATAGATTAGAAAGACGAAAACAAGGCATCTACTTACCTAAATTGTACTTTAAATTATGAATATGTATTGAATCTGGAGCTAAAGTTGTTCATTTTATAATTATCATTGTGAAATTTTATTCTTTGAATATGTATGATTTTTGTTGTTTTGATTATTTATACCCAGAGTGGTAGAAAGTTAGAATAATTCCATGTAGTAATTGATGACTTGTTACCCTACTTGCATGATACACGAATCTGGAAAGAAAACACACAACGTCTACCTTACTATAATACTGATTTATTAAAATTTCATGAAATCGATTTTGGCGTACAAACTTACAATTGTAAAAATTATTAAAATGTCACATTATTCGAATAGAAATTAATCATAGTAGCAATTTTTCAAAATTAATCCGTTTCGTAGGGAAATTTCAGAATCTACTAAATTTAAAACACATTTGCATCGTAACTATTTTAATTGTCAAATTGATCATTTATTGCATCTGTTTAAAGTAATAAAACTGACGTATCCAATAAGAAAATATTCATTTTTCCCATGCAAACTACTTACATTACAAAATTACTTCCATTTTTATATATAACGCTTTCAAAAAAATGAACTTGTTAATGAAGTAATAAAGGACTGTTGCCGTGTATGGTGTTTTAATGTAGGCACGTTCATAGATGTTTAGTTTGTAATATTTTGACCCCGTTGCTAAATGTTGCAATAGATTTATGTATATAAAGACCACTTGTAGATGTTTTACTACAATACTATAAATAATTTGTATAATGATATATAATATAATAATGTATCCTATAATCCCAGAAACATTAATATACTGTAACCGTTTGCATGTTGTCAAAAATAAATTTTAAATGTTTTTGTGAAATAGCTGCATTTTTGAATTGGGAGAGCATTAAATTTTTATAAAGCAAACAGTTATTTATTTAATCTAGGGAAGAATTATGTACAAAAATCTACTCAATTTTGTCCCTCCCGTATTTTTTTCTTTACAAATCTCGCATTTTTACAGGAAAGCAGTAATACTCAGGACCTTAGTTGATTGTGACTGTTGTAGCTAGTTAAATTCTACACATTATGCAAAAGAAATTATTCATTTCCATCCAGTAGTTTGTGAGATTTCCACCTTTGTATGCAATCATCCTTCCAATCTACTCAATTTTGTCGGCTAGTGTAATTTTCCGACTCGTATACTTCACGATTTGTTTTATTTTTAATTTATAATAAAATTAAGAAAACCATGTATTCATATTTTCAAATATAGTGGAATTACGAAAAATTCCTTTAGATTTTAAAAATCATGACAGCACACAAATTACGGTCAAATCTTATCAAGAAGGATCAAGAGACCAATCTGCATTACAAATAAACTACTAACATCCTAGAATACTCACACCGGCGGTGAAATTTCATATTTTTTAATCAGAAAATATTATTCCTTTAATATATCGTAAAACATATTTTTTGTTTTTTACTTGCAATCTTACAAATTTAATAAATTCTCTACTAGTTTGTTTACTAAATTGCGAGAATTTTTACCTAGTTCTTATATAAATCCAGAAGTCATAATTTTGATACGAACATTTTGACAAGTATAATTTGAAAAGCAGTACAAAATTTCGTACAATCAAATCAAATCGGGTTAGTACGTACTTGCATTATGGACCAACCACCTAATCAAATACATATTTGCAGAATTTAGTAAAATATGTATAGTTTCTTGGAGCCTAACAAGAACTTTAGTTCAAATTATACTGAATTAAATTTTAGTAATAAAATAAATGAACTAGAACATTTTGATATTTTCTGCACAGTCCTGGCTAAACTTGCACAGAAACAAAACACATGCGTTTTCAAATGCCTGCTATCATAAACCGTATGTCATTAACTAACGAGAGAAAATATTTTTCAAAACTAAAAATTAAATCAGTATAAAGCCAAATGGTAATTGTTTATAAAATCCAAATATCTTAAGATTCGAAGATGCAGTAACAGGATACGCCGGATCAGCAAATTTGACTTTCTAAGCCATATTAAACAAATTTTCCCAAACCCTGCCAAGCTGAGGAACTTGATTAATTTCACAACTTTATTCATATCGTGATTTAATTTTCTAACCGTTAAAAACGTTATTCTTAATGGGAAAAATACTTAAAATATTTTCATTATGCTTCAAATAATCAGTTTCAGATGTCCAAAACTCTTTTTGGGTTCGTGTAATATCGTCCAAAGCATAATAAAACTACATTTGGAGTAGAAAACTCGCAATATTAGTTCCACATCTAATATTTTTTATACTTTAATATTCATAATATCACTTATGTACATAATAAAAGTATTGATTATTCTGATACGAATTTTTAAGGGAGCCATTTAAAAATCTTTGATAATTTGTGGCCTTACGGTACTGGTAATTATTCATTATTTGACTTTGAATTTCAACACTGTACTCATTTATGAATAAGTCCGTTTTAATAAGTTCCAATTTACCATGTTGGAAACTATTATATTTTCAGTTATTGCCGTTGTCCTTGCAAACTGGTATATGTTAATTATCTGAAA